TTGAATCACCCTTCCAGTTGAGATCTACATTCACCACGGCCATCATCCGGGTGGACTTTGAGGTCATTTCCATTTGAAAATATCTTTATTTTGTGGATGAACCTTGTCAACTATGTTGAGCTGTCAACAGAAGATCAGGTTTCTCAGGCTTCATGCTTTTATTTATTAATTTCCTTTGTTAAAGACTTTGAAGGCTTAATATGAATGTTTAAAATAAATATTCCGGTCAACTTCGTGATAGCATATTTATTCGATGTTCAAACCCTGTCTACTCCTATTTACCTGTTTAAGAGGATTGAGTTTCATAGGCTTTATACTCTTATTAGTAAATTCTCTTGATTATAGGCCTTAAAGGCTAATATGAATGTATCAAAACAAATATACTAGTTCCCTCAATCGTATATTTGTTTGATGGTTCGAAACCCTGTCGACTTCTATTAATCTGCTTAGGAGGATCGGGTTCAAACTTGAATTCACTTATTAACCCGCGCAGCATCCCTAGATGTCACATGTGTATAACACGCTCGCCGGGGCCCATGCGGGTGTTTTTAAATTTCACTGATTTGTCATACCCTTTTGTGTACTTATGTGTATACAAGCTATGGTGCACGTGCAGGGATATTTTGACATATTTCAGTTGTGCAAATAATTGTGATTTGAATGCATAGCATCTCATTTGAGAATTTATACACGTCTTATGTCCGTTAGTACGAGTGTTATGGATCCGGTGGCAGTCGTTATAGATTGTAGACACCTTATGTCTGCTTGTACTAACATTATAGATCCGATGATGATATGGTCTTGATGTTATGAGGAATCTCCTCATCTTGATGTTAACTCCCCCTTTCTCACACACAGGGGGAAGGTTCTTCTTGAAATTCATGGTTATTGCCTTGAAAGGGACTCTTTTCAGGATCTTTAACGTAGTAAACTTCTTATTTCTGATATTTGTGGATGTATGAACTATTTTCTTCTTGGCAGCTTTGCAGCATTTCAATCACCACTATTGTAGGTGATATTTATACTTGTGTCCATAGTAGTTTGTTGTGCCTATGATATACCCACTATTGTTATCCACAAGCGGCTCATGTGTATTCATGGGGACCCGTTGTATTCATTACGACCTCTTGGAAGTGTTCGTAGAATAGCCATTATTTTTGCATCATATCCACCTTTCACCAATCTCAGGTGATTTTGATGTACTTATTTACAAGGACAAATCTTCCACTATTAATTGACAGTGTTACCATCTCATTCTTGTAGGTACGATGCACCCGATCTCGTAAAGACTGTTGTAATAGTCCACTACATTCTTTATTTGTATGCATTGAGGTCTCGTAGTGTGCCTTAGTCACATTTGTTTATTAAGATCAATGTATTTCATCTGGCATTGAGTCACTATTGTCCGCACAAATGTTCTTGTAGTTTGAGTTCCCTTGTGTGTGATTCAATCTTTATTCTTCGTATATGTTTGAGTTCAAGTTCAGTTTCATTTAGACTTGAATTCATCAAGTTTACGAGTCCCCACTCAATATCGTATAGTGCGAGTTCAAATACGAGTTCAAAGTCTTCTAAAGTCTTTTGCAAGTTCAAACACATATTCAAATTGATTCGAATTTGATTCCAGCTTGATCTTATTTCATTTAGTTCAGGTCTTGATTAATCATTTAGATTTTAATCAAATACAAGTCCACAAGTCCACAGTTCATTCTTATTTGAATCCAGGTCCTTGTTCTTTTGAATTCAAATCAAGTCCGAGTGCAGTCGTATATTTACCCGAAATTTAGGCAACCTCCTGACGTCTCCCCTGTTTAGGGGAAAACTATGAAAAACTGAGCCTCCCTCAACGCTAGAGAAAAGCGTATACGGTAGGTGCCCTCGTACAAGAACACCACAGCCGTGAAATCTTGAACCCCACCACGCCATAAAAAAGTGTGTATGAGTCTTCGATATATCTATTGCAAAAGAGAAGCAAATATTTCCCCGCGAGCGAATATTTATGAATATACCGGTCTTGCCGTAGGCACCACACCGGATTCACATCCCACCACGCTAGAGAAAAGCTTGTATAAGCAATTTTTCAGTGTCACGAACGCCAAAAAAAAAAGATTTTAGGTGATCAACCGATTCGTTGAAAACACCATGATGAACTTCCTTCCACCATGCTAGAGAAAAACGTGTATATGTGATCATTTTGTCGCGTTTTAACCATCGAAAGCGGGATCTCCAAGTTTTAAGGTTTAGGGATTATACCTTTTTTCATTTCTGCGATGACGAAGATTTATTTTAAAAAAAACACACTCTCTCTATTTCTCCTTTTTTTTTCCCTCATAAACAAACATACATGTGCACACATACACATACACCTACATGTATATGCATGATCAAATTTTATAACGGCAATGATATATATAAAAAAAAAATTGATAAAACCATACTATACTCAATAAAAGTAAAGGAATTTTGTTGAAGCTAGCTTTAATAGGATCGAATTGTTAAGGTTCTAATCTTAAACTACAAACAATGAAGGCTTCCCTCTATCTGCTGAAATTTATCAAGTTGCCACTTCTAAGCGGATAAAATCCTCACAAAAAAAAAAAAAAAATCCAGTAGATGTGGTGATCTTGAAGCGAGGACATTAGTGCATCAGAATCATCTTCTTCAAAATCCATATAATCTTCTTGAAAAGCACAGCCACCTGCTTCAATTTATTATTATTATTATTTTTTTTTTTTTTGCTGCATATGAAGCCTCCTCCTCTCCCAATTTTCTACTCTATTCTTCCATGTAATACTTCCATAAAAATCTTAATAGAAATCTACACTCAACTAAGCACTAAGACTTAATAGAAATCTTAATTTTATTAAAATTCAAAGTTTAACCATATAATGACATGTCTTAACTTCTGTTCATTGGTCTAGGCTGAAGAACTGTGCTTGATTCTTCTTGAACGATCGCCTCTTCATAAGTAATAAAAGGGGAATTAGTATATGAAAGAATCAGAGCAATGTTCTGAGAATAAAAAAAAAAAGACTTGCATGGTTGCAATGAGTTTATAAGATCAATGTGTAAGATGAGATTATCTAGATTCAATTAAGAAATCTTCTTCGACGGTTTCAGATTATAAAGCGGATCAAGAACGGATCATAATAATCTGGTTTCCTCTTATGTGGAGCTGCTTGCTTGAGGTTGGACGGACAGGGAGAGTAAAAGCTTTTTTTTTTTTTTTTGCATCAGGTCGAATGATACTTTTGGGCCCAAAATACCTCCATTCAGCTCTGAAGTTGTAGATTCTTTAGTGGGAAAAAAAAAAAATCTTGACTATCAAACTACCCATTCATTGGGAAAGCCATTGCACTGGGAACAAAGTCACGGTTTGATTAGATCCTCTAATATCCATCAGCAATCCAAAACCAAGGTCATGGGTTGTGTCTTCTTCTTCTCCTGAGCCGTTTGATTGGACTGTGGAAGCTGTAGCTTTCTCGGTTTTAGACATCCATAGTGGAAGATGTAAGCAAAGATAGTTCTAAGACAACCTAAGCTGAATGATTCCCTCAGGATTAGAGGTTGGATGGTACAGATCCTCCAACCATTTCTTCCACCTGGTGTAGTAAGCAGAATCGCCAACCCTAGCTATGGCCATAGCTCATGATGAAACTGGCATGGGACGGACGGATCCTCGAGTGGAAAGATTAGTACAGGAAGAGTTCCTTGGAATTCCGATTAACTCCAGCAAATTAACCATAGAGAGATGGCGAACCAGGAGGTGGAGAGGAGCGAGAACCATCTTTTTTCCATTTTTCTTTTCATCTGGACGCTCCATCTAGCAGCTCAACTCAGCAACGCCGGCCATGCAATGAAGAGAAAGAGCAGGTGGAAGGGTAATAATATAAATGAGCAGGTGGAAGGCCATGCAATGGCTGCTTTTGATGTGTGGAGAGAATAATATAAATGAGCTTTTTTTATCATATCTTTGTTTCATTTCCAGCTGCCTACGGGATGGGGAGCCGAGTTTGCAGGATTTGGCGGAGGATATTAGCAGATTTTGGCAGGTCTTCTCCAGCCGTTCCGCAAACAGGCGAATGGAGTCTCAAACGTGTCAACAGAACTCCATTTTTATCGGCATTCAGTCGCTTATGAACAGTGCGACGCTAATATTGGCGTCGCACTGTTTACTTTCGTCATTTCTTTCGCTCTGCCGAACTCCATCTAAGAAAGGCGCGAAAGAAACGACGATGATTTTGGGACAAAATAGAATTCCACTGGAGATGAATCACGGCACTTTTTAATTTTACTGTATTTTGCAGTGAAAAATGAGAGATTACGTTGGAGATGCCTGAGGGAGATGGGCAGCTGGCAAAATTAGATTTTTTAGCAGGATTTGAGCACAAGATTTGACAACTGTACAAATATATCCGCCAAAAGATTTGAGCAGATATTATTTAATATTTTTTTGGGTAGTGAAATGGAGGTCAACACACTCATATCTTTCAGCTTTAGTCATAAATGTTCTTAGTAGCAGTTGAAAGAGGATGTTCCATTGTGTGTTCTTTTTGTTGATGATATTTTTTTTGTTCATAAAATTAAGAGAGTAGAAAAAAAAACTTAAGAGTTATAAAGGTCAATCTCTAAAAATTATATGAACATAAATATAATTTTCTCGGCTCCTGTGTATTATGAACATCAATATAATTATATAAAAATTATATGAACATCAAGTGCTCCAGGTGCAATTTTCTCGGCTCCTGTGTATTATATGAACATATATAATCACATGACATTATCAAGCATTCTAGAATTTTCTAGGCTATTAGTTGGGCAGCACAACATTTTCTATAATATTTTTGCAGTAAGAGAAATTTTAGCCAAACTGTCAGTAAAGTAAAATGTAATTATGCTAAGGAAAGAAAGAAATATAAATAATTTCAGCTGAAAGATAATACATAATAATTATGTGAAAAAAAAAAAAAAACAATTATGTGAACAAACAATACAGGAACTAAAACAAAAGTACTACTATTCAGTTTTGAATTCAAATAATCCCTGGGTTCATTGAAATTCAATGCATTTCACTATGAACTGTAGAATTGTCTGAATTTTAGCATAATTAACTAGATAAGAAAAAAAAAACTTATTTTAAGCATCATCTTCTTCGCCTGTTGAACAATTTCGGTCCAATATGCTGCTCTCTGTGTCTCAATTGGATCTGCCCTGCCTTCTTTATCCTCCGTGAGCCTTCAACATGGACTGAAACCTCACTTGTCTTCAACCTCACATGGTGGCGAAGGCCACTTCTCTGTCTCCTTTTCAATGAACTGTGGCTCTTTGGATACAAAGATTGTCTCAGTCGATCTTTCCGTTTGTCCCGAACCGACTTTCGCCTATTCGTGACTCTAATGCTCTCATAATCCTCTGAAGGGTCAGTATCAGTCGTGCTGAACTCCTCTTCCATGTCCTCGAACCTTCGTCGATAGACACGTTTAGTGTCCTTCAGTTTATGCCAGAAGAAGCAGCTGATATCCTCCAATGCTGTCCAGTATGCCTCACAAGCAGCCCAGGTCATTTTGCAAAAACTTCTCCCAATGCATTGAATGATGCCAACTTTGAACAAGAGGTAAAAGAAGAGCAGAACTATGAAGACAAAACAAAAAGGGTTTTAGTTCACTGAATCTTTTCGAAGATTAATCTTAAACAATGCAATTTATTTGAAGGTCATTTGAGGCAAGTTCATCACGCTTTGCTATCACCATCTGTTTGGCTACAAATTTTTTTTATCCTTCTTAGATTTTTTTTTTAAATGATAAGAAGTAATTTTTTATAATTACATCTACCAGAATGTGGTAGCTGTAAGAAACTTATTATACGAAGAAAAAAAAGTCGATAATACCCCTATAAATTTTAAAATAACAACAACATTAAGCCTTGATCCTACTACGTAGGGTCCGCAACATCAATCTTTTTTCTCCATTGTATCTTGTTAAAAGTCAAATTCTCATTTAAATCTAAAAAAAGTCATTTCTAGTATTTTCTAAATAAGTCTTTTTAGGTCTACATCTACCTTTCTGAATATAAGTCAAATCCAATACATCTACTTTCCTAACCAGGTCATCAGAAGACTGTCGTTTATGTGACCAAACCATCTAAGGTGACTCTCTCTAATCTTATCTTTCATTAGAGCTGCTCGAACTTTTTCACGTATATGCTCATTTCGTATCATGTCTCTAAGAATAAAGTCACTCATCCACCTGAGTATCCTCATATCTACAACACTTAATATTATGGAAGACTTGTACATTTCTCCTAGAGAGATCATTTGTTAAGGGTAGTGCAAATATCACCCTATGTCTTAAAAAAGAAAGAGATGATTTACTCATTGTTCAAATAAATGTGGATGATATATTATTTGAATCAATAAATGAAAACTTTTGCAATAAATTTATTGAAATTATAAGTAGAGAGTTTGATGAGAGAGTTAACATATTTTCTTAAATTTAGTGTGAAGCAAAAGGGAGATGGTACCTTTCTCAGTCATAGTAAGTATATTAAGGAAATTATAAAGAAATATAATATGGACGATGCTAAAGCAATAAATATACCAATGAGCTCAACAATTCAATTAGACAAGAATATGGAAGAAAAATCAGTAGATCAGCAAAAATATAGGGGAATAATATAATCACTTTTGTATTTGACAACTAGCAGACCATATATAATATTTAGTATTTGTCAATATGCTAGATTCCAAGATGATCCTAAAGAATCCCATATGACTACAATTAAAATAATTCTTAGATACCTTATGGGCACCCAAAACTTAGGTATATGGTATCCCAGATACAACTCTTCATTTAAAATAATAGAGGATGTAGAATAGATAGAAAAAACACTTCTAGAACTTGCCAATTCATAGGGCAATTATTAGTTTTCTGGCCTAGCATAAAATAAAATTCAGTAGCTTTATTACTGCTGAGGCAAAAGACAAAATACATAGCTGTAGAAAGTTTCTTGCTTAAGTATTATAACTAAAGCAACAAATTCTTGACCTTAGACTTTCCGTAGGCTTCATACAAATCATGCGTGATAACACTAGTGTTATTTGCATTTTTAAAAACCCAATTCACCATTCTCGCATAAAGCATATAGACTTTAGACATCATTTCATTAGAGATCATATAACCAATGGAGAAAGAGAATTACATCATCTATTGAACACAAACTGGCAGACATTTTTACAAAACCGCTTAGCCATGAGATTTCACGAAGCTGCCAATAAAGAAGCCTACCACAGATACAAGGCTGGTGGGATTGCTCCATCAAAAATTATTAATCAGGAAGCTCTCAACTTTAAGTACTGAACTTTTTTGCTTGCACCACACTCCAATTTATTCTGACCTTTAGCCCTTCCCTTCAATTCTGAATTATTTTTTGAGTTCTTTATCAGTCTTAGAGTCGATAGTAAGGTCACAGTGCTTCAATCCTTTATTTGTAGAAGACCTATAGAAATTACCTATGAAGATTTTGATAAAATCCTACATCTTTCTACTACTATCCTAAAAGCTCACTTCATAGCTTGTCCCTGACTACGGTTGGACCCAAACCAACATAACGCTTAGAGATAATCCATTAAACACACTCCTTTAATCTGCACCTTGTTCAAGATGCACATATACCTCAACATATCCTTCAAAACTCAATCTCTCTCATCACATATTTCATTATGACAGAAAATAATTTCAATGCAGCAAACTTGATTATTCGCTACATTAAAAATCTAACAAGTATTAGAGATCCCAAGAATAAACGCCAGAAAAACCTAGCACTAGGACACCTCATAGCCTTTATCTTGAAATCAAAATACAACTTATAATATCCTTCACCACCCAATTAACTCCCAATCTTTTACACCAACAGCTCCTTTTTTCTTGCACCACACTCCAATTTATTCTGACCTTTAGCCCTTCCCTTCAATTCTGAATTATTTTTTGAGTTCTTTATCAGTCTTAGAGTCGATAGTAAGGTCACAGTGCTTCAATCCTTTATTTGTAGAAGACCTATAGAAATTACCTATGAAGATTTTGATAAAATCCTACATCTTTCTACTACTAGCCTAAAAGCTCACTTCATAGCTTGTCCCTGACTACGGTTGGACCCAAACCAACATAACCCTTAGAGATACTCCATTAAACACATTCCTTTAATCTGCACCTTGTTCAAGATGCACGTATAACTCAACATATCCTTCAAAACTCAATCTCTCTCATCACATATTTCATTATGACAGAAAATAATTTCAATGCAGCAAACTTGATTATTCGCTACATTAAAAATCTAACAAGTATTAGGATCCCAAGAATAAATGCTAGAAAAACCTAGCACTAGGACACCTCATAGCCTTTATCCTGAAATCAAAATACAACCTATAATATCCTTCACCACCCAATTAACTCCCAATCTTTTACTCCAACAGCTCTTTTTACGTACTTCATAATGATAGACGCCACCATGGTCATTATGTGGTGGATCCCGAACCAGAGGAGGTAGGAGGAACTCCAACACCGAGCCCAGCACCAGCTCCTACCCACCAATCTCAGAACTATGACTCGATTGTGGAGCGACTTGACCGCCTAGAGATACAAGTGACAACACAGTATCAGGAGATGATTGAGCATTAGGAGTGGCTCCACCAGCAGCAAGAGCTACTCCAACAGCAACATAAGTCAGATAGAGCCTGGTTTAGTGATCAATTCTGCAGTCTTCATAGGTACTTTCAGCCACCACTTGATCAGGGTCATTCCTACTTCGGAGGTGTTATGTGTTGTGTTTAGTTATCTTTTTCTGTTGTTATATCTTGTGTTGTCATTTGTCTTTATCTTTATTTTTTCTCCTTTTTGGTGATGTGAAAAGGAGTAGGATGTTGTTAGTATGTTTATGTATATTTGGTGTTTTTATTCAATTATATATATATATATATATATATATATATATATAATATTTGGCATTGTGCTTATTTTTTATATTAAAATTAAAAAAAAAAGAATCTCTCCCTATTTTGATAAGAACTCGGTTAATAAGGGGGAGATTAGGAAGAAAAAAATTAAATTTGAAAATTCAGTCAACAATATTTATCATCATAAAAAAAGGTAGAGATTGTTGCAATCTAGAATCCAGAGCTTAGGATTTTAATAATAAAAACATTATTGGATTGCTATTTTATTTCTTTTAGTACTATTACAGCATACATTTTGTGTGAGCACTAAATATTTCAAGTACACCACATACCGTGCAACAAAGGATCGACTCAAGACTGTAAAATAGGTTTGATGTTTTTGGAAGAGTCTCTATTTTCATTAATTTATTTTTATATTTCTTGAGTCAAATGTCTTGTAAAAGGTGTATGTCATCTTAGCAACCGTACACACACACCAGGGAGCAAAATTGAAATTTATTAATATTTGTGAAGTTTGTAACGTACGATATGGATAAACAAATATTAATTAGAACATTTATTTAAGATGATTTAAATTTGAACTAATCTTACAAGACAATCAGTAGAAATCAAGAACTTTGCTGCCAATCATAAATTAAGTAATATTTTAAAATTAAAAAATAAAACTAATTGCATTCTTCAATTAAGTTAAATTTTGTCTAATTTAATCTTGTAAATAAGCAATCGAATGTAGATTAATTGAGATTTCATATCGTATTATACGATGTCCTGATTTGTATTGTACAACCCGATTAGCCACCGAGACGATATTTAACTGCCAGCAATCAGACAAGACAAAAATCTTATTCGATTAAACTAATCGTACAATACGAACATTGATATTGTACTAGACAATCAGTTCAAATATTTGAACTAACTGTACAAACCCTTGTTCAACATATAGTATTAACAGGATGTATTGAACTAATCGTACTATATAATCAGAAACGACTAACTTGAAAAATTAGGTTTTTTGGAAACCTTGCATTTAAACTTTCTCGAGAGACTCTAGAAGAGTCTTTTAGGCTGTTGAGAGAATTTCGTAGGAGAGCTTTGTGAGAGCTTTATTTTCTTGAGAGATCATGGAGTTCTGAGAGGAGAAGGAGAAGGTGTATGTGAGGGGAATTTCACGTGGTTGCTCCAAGCAAGTTCTTATGCCTCTTCATTAATCTTGAGGGAAGCCCAGGGGGAAGGACTTCAAGGCCAAACATTCTAAGTTCTCTGCATCACCAGGAAGGTAAAAAGGCTTCCAGGTTCTTTGCCTCGCCAGAAGGGTAAAAAAGATTCAGGTTCTCATCCACACTGTGAATGGGTGGAAGTGATTTTGTAGGGCATCTCCGTCTTCCTATGGAGCTAAAGGAGAGTTACTAAAGGTTTAGTGCAATACCTGGAGAGGACTCCATAAAGTGGATATCAGTAAAGGTTGACCGAACTACTATAAAATTTCTAGTGTGTTCATTTCTTTTCTTTGGTACTTTTATTTTCACATTTTAATTTCCGTAATATTATCTTCTTGCAAATATGTGATAAACGTATTGTGATTGTTTTGGATGAATTTATGTGAGTAAGAAAAAAATAAATAAAAATATATTCTATTCATTTTTATAAAATAAAAATATAAATTTTATTTGGTTTATTGATATTTACTTCCACTTGTATTTTTTTAACATAGTTAGTAAAAAGAAAAAAGAATATGAAAAAAAATTTAATTACGAATTCAACCGCCCACCACCCCCCCCTTAATATGCCCGGCAATCACAAGGGTAATAGCCTCTTTTAAACTTTCAATTGGTATCAAAGTAGATAACGAAGTATTTTGTTAACCTTTTCAAAATTATATAATTCTTTACCTAAGGCATGCAGGAATGTCACTATCTTAATAAATCTTTTGTACATGTCAGAAATAGTCACATTTGGTTTCATGCGAAATAGTTAGAAATCATGCAATAGTAAGTTTAAGCGAGATTGTTTGACCTCATTTGAATAATCATATGCCATATGAGATAATCAATAGATTGTAGAAACATAGACATGCGACTTTTTCAAAAATAAAAAAGAATGTTATCAAACAATGATGGATGGGTTATTGAATAATCCTCCACAGTATTTATATTTCCAAATTGTGAAATAGATCTTTTCCCTACAATTTTCAAAAAACAAAAAATTCTCCACAAAAATTCAACAAAAACTTTTACATAAAGCAACAATCACCCCAAATGAACTCTAAATTAACTAGATTGCTCAAAAAATGACTGTCATAATGTTTCAAGCATACTTCTATTTGAATTTTAAGAACATTTGTAATACACAAAGACATAATGCTTACTTATATAGGTGAGCACAGATACAATAAACAGTCTCACAAGACTAGCAATGCATAGATGCTCTATGAAGCAGATCAAGTCCCATGTCCCTGAACAAATGCCCCTGTGCAAAGCCAAATAGATACATATAAGAGAGCTACTAAATGATCGTAAAATATCTATTTACATAATATTACGACACAATGCTCAGAAGGTAACATTTCATTTCTCCACTCACAAATTTTTCTTTACCTTAAGTGCAGTGAAAAAAATTTCTGTCCAAATTCAAATATGAAAGAAAAAAGCACCTCATGCAACGGCGGATTTAAGGGGGGGTCTGCGGGGGCACGTGCCCCCCCCCCCCCTCGGAAAAAAAAAAAACATAAGCTTAAACGCAATTTTTGCCACCCGCTCTCGCCCCCAGGTATTTTCTTGCCCTAAAAATCTCGCATCCCAGTTGTGGCGGAGCAGGTAGAAACGGTGGCACGCAGAAATTGTGGCACGGGCTGCTCTTTGTGGCTTGAAAATGGTTTGTCTGAAACTTTTTTTTTTTTACCTATTTCATTTGCTTTTAGCCACCAACCGTGCCCGGAAGCAATCTTCACTTGAAGAAGTTGAGATCCTTCAATTGTAGCAACAAATCCAAGAGTCACATCTGAGAAAGGTAAAGCTCGAGAAGAAGCTAAAGTAGAGGGGTTTGAAGGAGTGTCGAAGGCCGATGGAGAGTCGAACGCCGGCGACGACGAATGTGTTCTGAACATCTCTTCTGTTTGGAATCTATATCAGTAATTAGGGTTTAGATCGACACCATGAAAAATTGTCAGAGAGCCAAATTGTCGGAGAGCCAACGAGAGAAATAAGACGATCTATGTAATACGATTCAGCGCTCGGAACTCTTTACTGCAGTGGAGTCACCGAGTAAACCTGGACTTTTTTTTTTTTTTTTTTTTTTTTTTTTTGCTCTAATTCGAACTCAAATTTTGACCTCTATTATGAGAGAACAAAATTAATATATTATGATAGTATATTCTGATAGATATTAACATTTTAAAATTCATCATAATTATTTTTAATGATAAGTATTTTTTTTATGTATTTGAATGGACTCTTGATTCAATTGATTCAGTATAAAAGAAAATTATAATTTTAATTATATTTATAATAAAACATTTAAGGATATTAGCCTTTTTGTCCATTTTCGACCTGTTATCGCTTCTGGTTTGAATTTTTTTTTTTTTTTTTATTCTTGTTTATACTCATATCTGAAGAATTTTATCAGTAATTATTGGGGGCAAGGAACAAGAGAACAACCAGTAGTGATTCAGTGCCATGGCATTTTCATTGCTTTCATGTTCATGTAGGAAATATGAAAAAGATTTTTATCAGTTTCATTGTTTTTAATTTTCTATTTAGAACAACTTATATTATATGGATTTTATGTATTTTAGGCGGTTTGATTTAAAAAAAAAAATTTAGACCCCCTCTATGAAAAGTTTCTGGCTCCGCCACTGACCTCAAGTAGTATAATAAATATCTGATGTACTAAACACCAAATGCTCTATAGCTCTACGGTAAATTTAAGCATAATTCTATTTCAGTTGCTTCTATTGGAGGGAGCAAAGTTTGCTTTAGTGCAGAGCCACCATTTACTTCTCATTATTAGAATAATAGTACCTGATACTCTATTACCATATAATGCTTAGCACTAAGTATCTAATGCTCAGTAACGCATTTGCTCTTTTTTTTTTTTTTTTATAACGCCTTTGCTCTAATTTATTCTCTTATTCCCTCTGTAAGCCTTTTGAATTTTTCTAAACAAATCATAAAATAAGCACTTTTTTTTTTTTTGTTAAGTTGTTTTTTTTTTTCATTTTGTTTGGATGGCACGGTTCTAGTTTTTGGTTGTTTCTCCTATTTAGCTTTGTCTTGGTTAAGAATTCCAACCCTTTTAGAATATGATATTGTCCAAATTTTTTGTCCTAAGAAGTCGTCTGAATGATGAGGCAAGCAATATATTACTAAATTATCATCCTAATTGACTGCTTAATCTGGGTTAGTTTTTTTTCTTTGAGAGGCTGAGTGAATTTATTCGCAGCAGCTACTGCACTCAAACCCTCGCCTCCTTGGTAGAAGCCTCAATCACAGGGCCGCATAACCTTATGTTGTTTTGAGGGTAAGGTCTTAATATATTACACCTGTCATTCAGGCTATTTTTTAGGAGAAAAATTTTAACAAAATAACACTTCATTTTTTTTTAATTATTAAAGAACTCTGAATATATGAACAAGCAAAATTTGAGAAAGAGAAACATTGGATGATAGATTTTAAAATGTCAATCTAAAGTGGAAGTTGAGGCAAAAGATTGAGAACAGCTTTTCACCTCATCAAAGCATGCTCCTCCATTCAACATGAAGATTTGAGATTTCCCCCGAGTTAAGGACATAGTGCTTATTTTGTTCATATATCTAAATGAATTGTGACAGATCATATGGTAAAAACCCTAGAGACTTATGTGAAGACAGATTAAGGAGTCCTCTATCATATGATATTTAAGAATGTCAAACAAATCGCTTTTTTGGCCCATAAGGGGATTTTCTCACAAAGACAACATAATGCATAAATTATTTGACCAAAAAAATACTTCCGTATTTAAAATTCAAAAAAGTATCGAAAAGGATGATTACCTCAAGAGGAAAATTAAAAAACATCTAATTTCAATATGCTTACTAGTTGATAAAATTTTCAAAAGGAAAAAATTAAAAAAATGGTCGATTCTACAAAGATGGAACTTATAAGTTTTTTACAAAATCAAATGATGATAATTTTATATGAAAAACTTATAATAAAGGAAGCACTTAATGATGACTAAAAAAATTTAATATTTTTTTAACACTTTTTTTAACACTGGCTCAATTGCAAAAGTTTATCAAATTCATAAACATCACAATTTAAGCATCAGAAAATCCAAAATAACAACAACAAGCCTTTATCCCACAGTGGGGTCGGCTACATGAATCCTTTTTCTCCATTGTAGCCTCTTAAGAGCCAAAATCCCAACTAAATCTAATAAAGAAATGTCATTTTTAATATTTTCTAACTAAGTCTTTTTAGGTCTACCTCTATCTTTCTTAACATAAGTCAAATATAATACATCTATTTTCCTAATCAGGTCATCGGAAGGCTGTCATTTTATGTGATAAAACCATCTAAGCCGACTCTCTCTAATCTTCTCTTCCACTAGAGCTACTACAACCTTTTCACATATATGCTCATTTTGTATTATGTCTTTAAGAGTAAAGCCACTCATCCACATGAGCATCCTCATCTCTACAGCACTTAACTTAATGTTATGCTTTTCTTTTAATGGCCAACATTTTGCACCATAAAGCATTGCAAGTCTCACTACGATTTTATAGAATTTTCACTTAAGTTTGAGAGGGACTTTTCTATCACATAACAAGCTTGATGCATTCCTCCACTTCAACCATCCAACTTGAATTTTACTAATAATATCCTAATCTATACCATCACTATGAACAATAAACCCAAGATATCCAAAATGTGTGCTCTTATTAATGACTTGACAGCCCATAGTCACAATCCTCCCACTAGATCTATTATTACTAAAATTACACTCAATATATTAAGTTTTAGATCTACTCAAATGAAAGCCTTTAGTCTTATCAACAAGAAGAATATCATCAACAAAAAGCATACACAATGGTACAACCTATTGCAAATGTCTAATGAGAACATCCATGACTAAAGCAAAAAGATATGGGCTTAAGGCCGATCCTTGATGTAATCTAACTGAAATAGGAAAATACTTGGTCAAACCACCTTGTGTTTGAACACAAGCAACAGCTCTTGCATACAGATCCTTAATGACTTGAACATAAGCATTATTAACCCCTTTCTTATGTAAAACTCTTCATAGCACTTCTCTTAGAACTTTATCATATATTTTCTCTAAATCAATAAAAATCATATGTATGTCCTCCTTATTCTATCTATACTTCTCCATCAAGCCTCTCAATAAATATGTAGCTTCCAAAATAGACCTACGTGGCATGAATCCAAATTGATTTTGAGAAACATTAGTGTCACGTCGCAACCTATGCTCCATAACTCTCTCCTATAGTTTTATAGTATGACACATTAACTTAATTCCTTTATAATTCGCACAATCCCGTGCATCACATTTATTCTTAAAAATAAGAATCAGCACACTCATTCTCCACTCATCTGGCATCTTTTTAGTCTTCAAAATAATATTAAAAGTTTAGTAAGCCAAAAAATTCCCTGATCTCCAAAGCATTTCCACACCTCTATTGGAATATCATCAGGTCCAACAATTTATTCACACTTCATTTTTCTTTAAAACCTCTTTAACTTTTGTTTTACTAATATGCCGATAAATCAAAAATCTTTATTTTCATTTAGGGTACTAAGGTCACTAAAGTTAATCGCATTCTCATAATCTTCATTGAAAAATTTAGCAAAATATCTTATCCACCTTTGTTGAATATCATCTTCTAATAAAAACACTTTTTGATCCTCATCCTTAATACACTTCACTTGAACTAAATTCATACTGCTCCTATCTCTTTGTTTAGCCAACTTATACATATATCTTTTGTCCTCCATAGTATCTAATATATTATAAAAATCTTTAAAAGCTAAAATCTTTACATTGCAAATTACTTTCTTAGACACCTTACGGACCTCTTTATGGGGTTGTTTGGTTGCCTGAAAAAGAAATGCAATATAAAGTAAATGCAATGTAAAGTAAATGTAGTACATTCTGAATATTTTGCACCTGTTTGGTTGTCTGCAAAATAAACACAGGAGAACTGTTTCCTTTGTTTGGATTGGTAGATCCAGAGTAAAGTAAAATCGGTTTTTTTTAATAATTTGAAAGGAACTATGGAAACTCATGCATTCATCTCTCAGTATACCTTTTTAGCACAATTTTCTTATTGTTAAATAGTTTTTGAACTTAATTCTTGTTTCTTGTTTGACTAAGGCTTGTTTGAGACAATTTTCTTATTGCTTTCTAAAACACCTTTTAGCCCAAACAATTCTTGAACTTTAAATTTTTATATTATAAACCAACTGTCTAAAGCAGGGAAAAAACAGAGTGCGCTTCTAAGAAATCATTCCAAGAACATTAGAAGAAACATTAATGGAAAAGCCAGAAACTTGCTTTTTGGTGGAATTTTTAACCTAAGATCTTTGACTCCGTCCTTTGACAATTGCTTTTTGCTTAGCCGATCCAATTTAGAGGAATCTTTTTGAGGCTGCAACAAAAGTTTTCTACGAGCTGTATGAAAAACTTCTCCTACAATTAACACAGATGTGGCAACGGACAAAGACATCAAACACCAATCTCCTTTGATGAAGAAGAAAAGCCTTTCAAAGGAAATTCCATTCCAGGGCTGTAGAATTTATCTAGCATTCTAGAAAACAAAAATTAACATATTTTATAATTTAAACAAACATTTCTAAAAATAGAAAAGACTATATATGCTGAAAAACTGTTCAAACCAAGCAAACTCATCATAAAAATTCAATATTAGCAAGACCACGATAACATAAGACTCTTATCAACTATCAAGTATCAACAACGGTTTCTACAAGGCAATATGCTATCTCACTTATTCATACTTTGATGAATAAGACTTGAACAAGACTTCCAACTTATGCATACATACAGTTTTTTGTCCAAAATCTATCTTTAACACAGAACTTAGCTTCAAGCGTTTTTCTCTCTCACCAGAATACCAAATCAGAGACTTCTCATCCTAAAGACAATGAAGAATATTAAAATATAGTATCAATTTAAACACAATGTGAACAAAAAATACATGCCATGACCACGTATCCAACTATATATATGTAATAATTTAACTGCCTTTTGCTGAATTATAAACCAAAACTTAAAAGGTGCTCGTTCAGTTATTATAGTGCTCATTGAAGCCAATCATGATGCATGGATTTAATACATTTACAATTGGTGGTGACGAATTCATTCTCAAAAAAATATATAGTTGTCATGAGTCATCAATTCATTCTCACAAAAATATGATAAATAAATTTAAAACAGAGCATTCATAAATTCAGCACATCATTATATTTTTGAGTTTCATGGAGTTCAGTAATATCTTAAAATGGCTCAACCATCTTTGTAATTATTAATATAAATTCAAGGAAAAAAAATATCAATGAACAATAAATTTTTATGTATAGCAGTAATGACAAAAGTTCAAGTTCTTTTCCACAGATCATCATAAATCAAGTGGCACTACTGAATCATTTGGAGCCACAAATCAGGCATTTCAAAAGAAAGCATTTGGTTCTCAAGCTGAACCACAAACAAAAAAGTTTAGCAATTTTCAGAATATACATAATTATCAGACAAATTTATAAATTTTTTTGATAATTTATCATTTTTAATTTCAAATCAAAACATAAATACAAAACCTAACGAAATTCTTCTCTTTCCCTAAAGCAGATCGAGCAGCTAAAATGAACTCTTCAACAACAGTGGAAACAATAGCTCTCATATATGGCAGTGAACTTAGAAGCAAATTTCATCAAGTTACTAATGCAGAAAGACAAGGACTTGGCCGAACAAAAGAAGGTAGCCATGAGACTAGTAAAACAAAAATATAAATCACATTCCTAAAATAACAAAGTGAACGGAGGCCCCAAGCACAAAGAGAACCTATTTTTCTTAATTATTAACTTAAGATAATTCCTCCATAACTACATAGATAAACTACCTGGACGCTTGTGGAGAAAAAGTCCATGAAACCCAAGATGGCCATTATCGTCCCTGTTTGTAAACAGGGCACCGGTTGCTTCCGAGATAAATTCTCTAATGCTTGCAAGGACTACACAGGCATAAGCACATAAGAATCAGCTAAACAGACAATCTTTAATTAAATCCAATCAATCACGTTGCTTGAGAACGGAAAATCACCAAATACATACTTGCTCAGCCACGTCCAAGTACTCGATCAAGAGCAGCCGGCCATGTAGAACAGACAAGGCTCCGTGCCGTACAATGGCATCAGCCGCCCTCGGCATTACATCGCACAAATAAATGATCGCTCGGATTGCCAAGAGCATGACGTCGAAGGAGCGAAGTCGAACAAGAACGAAGGAGCCAAAGAAGCCTCTCGTGCAATCTTACACCACCTGCGAAGCAATGAAGCCGAACAGCAATGATGCGAACTTGCGAGCTCCCGTCACGTCGAAAAAGCGAAGTCGAACAAGAAGGAAGGAGCCGAAGAAGCCTCTCGTGCAATCTTACACCTCCTGCGAAGCAATGAAGCCGAACAGCAAGGACGCGAATCGAGCGAATTTATAACCCGCTCAATATGAGCGAGTTTCTAATTCGCTCAAAACAAGCTCTGTAATACACGCCTAATGCATCCGAGACTTTTCTTTTACTCCGCTCAAAATTAACCAAATAACCAAATTTAATAAATACATGTAATTGTTTTACTTTACACTCCTAATTCAGGCAACCAAACAGCCCCTATATCTTTCCCAGTTATCAGAGTTTTTACGGCTAAACTAATTGTTATAACAAATCTTATTTTTTATCTTTTTTTGTACATTTTGATTCCACCAGAAACTATTTTTACTATTAGTAACTTTTTCTTTTGATACTTCAAGCACATCTTTTACAGCATTCTTAATATCACTAGCTACTTTTTCCGACATATAATTAGCTTCCTCATATACAAACAAAATCTTAAAATTTAGAATCTTACTCTCAAATATATATTTTTTAATATTCTTTAAATGCCACAATCTAATTCTAGAACAACGATTTAATTTATTTTTTATCCTATGCCCCTTCATCTTAAAATTCAAAACTAATAAGTGATGTTGGGTACATAAACTTTCACTCAAAATAACTTTACAATCTTTGTAATTTAAATGATCTATTTTTCTTATACGAAAATAATCATTCTGAATTTTACTATATCCATTCTTATAAGTTATAAGATACTCATCTCTTCTCTTAAATAATGTATAAGCAACAACAACAATAACATCAAGCCTTTGTCCCACTACGTGCGGTCGACTGCATGAATCCTTTTTCGCCATTGTGTATTGTTAAAAATCAAATTCTCATTTATATTTAATAAAGAAATATCATTTCTAATATTTTCTAACCAAGTCTTTTTAGCTCTATCTCTACCTTTCTTAACATAAGTTAAATCTAATATCTCAACTTTCCTAACCGGGTCATCGAAAGGCCTTCGTTTAATATGACCAAACCATCTAAGGAGACTCTCTCTAATCTTATCTTCCACTGGAGCTACTCCAACCTTTTCATATATATGCTAATTTCATATCCTATCTCTAAAGGTAAAGCCACTCATCCACCTAAGCATCCTCTTCTATGCAACACTTAACTTAGTATTATGCTTCTATTTTAAAGGCCAACATTCGGCACCATAAAGCATTGCAGGTCTCACAAACATCTTATAGAATTTTTCCTTAAGTTTGAGGGGGACTTTTCCATCGCACAACAAGCCTGATGCATTCCTCCACTTCAACCATACAACTTAAATTCTATAGATAATATCCCCATCTATTTCACCATCACTCTGAACAATAGATCCAAGATATCTAAAACGTGTACTCTTATTAACGACTTGATCGCCCAAAGTCACAATCATTTCACTAGTTCTATTGCTACTAAAATTACACTCCATATATCCAGTTTTAGATCTACTCAAGCGAAAACCTTTAGACTCTAAGGTTGACCTCCATAATTCAAGTTTACCTTTAACTCCCTTTATAGTCTTATTAATAAAAAGAATATCATCAACAAAAAGCATACACCAAGGTACATCCTCTTGCAAATGTCTAGTGAGAACATCCATGACTAAAGCAAAAAGTTTTGGGCTTAAGGCTAATCCTTGATGTAATCCAACCAACAACAACAACAACATCAAGCCTTTATCCCACTATGTGGGATTGGATGTAATCCAACTGAAATAGGAAAATACTTGGTAAAACCACCTTGTATTTGAACACAAGTAATAACTCCTACATACATATCTTTAATGATTTGAATATAAGTGTTATTAAATCCTTTCTTTTCTAGAACTCTCCATATCACTTCTCTTGGAACTTTATCATATGCTTTCTCTAAATCAATAAATATCATATATAGATCCTCCTTATTCTCTCTATATTTCTCCATCAAACCTCTCAATAAATATATGGCTTCAATAGTAGACCTACCCGGCATGAATCCAAATTGATTTTGAGAAACATTAGTATCGCACCGCAACTTACGTTACATAACTCGCTTCCATAGTTTAAAGTATGATACATTAACTTAATTCTTCTATAATTCTCACACTCTTGTGCATCATCTTTATTCTTAAAAATATGAATTAACACACACATTCTCCACTCAATTATAAAATTATAAACTAAAAAAATCTAATATGATCTTACCACCTTCATTAGTCGCTCCAAAGTCATAGTCATCATGAATGCTTTTAAAATCATCTACCTCTCTACCAACATATCCATTTAAATCTCCTCCAATAAAAACTTCCTTCGAGAAGTATCTTTTGTATTAATTATTCTAGATCATTCCAAAGATTTAATTTTGAACACATATACAAACTTACTTGAGAAGTATAAGCGCTTATAATATTAATAATCATAGCATCAACAACAATCTCTACAGCTATAATTTTATCTCCACTTCTATTAATTTTTATAACATTATCATTCGCACTCTTATCTATAATCACAGCTACACCAATTCTAGTATGGCTCCTACCCGAATATCATATTTAAATCATAAACTATCAATCGTCTTAGCCTTCTCTCAAATCCATTTAGTTTCCTGAATGCAAAGAATATTTATCTTCCTATGGATCACATTTTCTATTAATTTCATTAATTTGCCTGTAAGGAAATATTTATTCCAAGTTTCTATCCTACTTTTAGTTTCATGAACTAGCTTCTATGCCCACATCCATCTATGATATGGGAACCCTTGCCTATTTAACCCTGCACCCACGCGTCGATGCAACAGCCCTTGCTCCCTTATCACTGTATTCAGGCCAGACAACGTATTTCTTCCAAGGAATGCCCTAGCATTAACAGAATGCATTAAATGATTCATGCCATGATTATTAGACAAATTATACTCTAGCTATCGATTACCTAACGCAACCCTTCATTTTTCTCACTCAGGATTTGGGAACTGGCAATGACAGTGTTCATAAGAAAATCAAAAAAAAAATTCTAAAATCAAAATGAAATAATCTCATGCAAAATGAGAAGTGTACATTTTTATGAGAAATGTACATATGTAAACCATCATAAATCAAAAAGATTAAGCAAATAAGATAATTAGAAGAGAGGAAAAACCAACAAAAATTGTAAAATATATGTTGCAAACAACAAAAAATTAGGTTGCCAATCGAACCATCAACTTTCTTGGAGGGACCTCGTTCCAATGTCATCTTCGAATGACCTCACAAATGGAAAGTTATCACATCAACGTTGAAGCCCACCATTGATCAAAACTAATGAAAATGTCAATTAGTTACTAATATCTAACACCAACCTTTCCTCAAAGAAAATACTAAGCAAACCACCTCCTATTGCACGATGCCTGACAATGATTGACATTGATGTTCATCAACTATCACATTCAACAACCACCTTCTTGATCGCTTGATCTCTCCTTTTATAAGGAGAATGACCAAGATAACCACCCAACTTCATCAGATAATAATTCCTGCATCTCAAGACTTCTGCTTCCACCACAGGAGAAATCTTCTACAATTAATGTCTAATGCAGTATATCAATGCCTTGTTATACTTTGTAATATAACACTAGAGTGGGAGATAGAGATTCTTCAATACTAACATTATAAACTCTCCCTACCGCCATAAATGTTCGAGTATGCTACAAGCACAACTCCAAAGTTTACTTTAAAGGATTTAACCTTTAAAGTGTTATTTCTTATACAATTCCTAAAATTAAAGGCAAATTTCAAAACTTTTCTTCCCATATTGTCTTTAAAAAGAGAGTTGAAAAAAAAAAGACTCCCTCCAAAATTTAGAAAAGGAATATGAAAATTCACCTAATATTCTAAATAATATGCGAGTTCCGTTCCTCAGTTCATATTTCCTCCCCTTTGCTTAATTCAACTCCTATGTCGACAGCAGTATGAAGCAGCCTTAAGAAATGCTGATGGCTTTGAAAGTGACTTCTTATTTCAGTGATAGTGGTGTCATGTAACTTTGTCCATTGAAGCAGCATGGGTTAGTTGCACAACATTTATGAAAGACCATGTTAGATGAATGAAGGGGTTCAAAGATCGATTTCAGACAGAATTAGAGTTTGATAGCATCCGATGGCAAGCTAAAGGCTTTTGACAGATGAACCCGGACTTTGACATAAACAGATTCCTAAGGCAAAAAGTAAATGGTGATTTGATTATTAATTGATTAGAGCATTCTAATTCTTCTTCATTTCCTTTCACTCAACGTCTGAGCATTCAGATGGAATGTTAGTATTTCATTTCAACAGTGTTGGTGACTCTCTGTTCATGCATTCATAGGGAGACATCGGCATAAATTACATAAGAGACGGTACAATTTGGGAGCCTCTCAAACACTATTTGTAGTAAACAAAGACTTGATCCTTGCATGCATGGGAAGCATCAAAAGTGAGTCATTCCTTTGATGATATCAGGTGTCGAGCTCATGGCAAGTTCATGATAGTGTTTTAAATGGTGAGGCTAGGGAGATTCTCCAAGCTATAAGAAATTTAGATGGAGAGAAAAAGGCTTTGTCGTTCTTCTAGCTAGTTGACTGGGCTCCGAAAATTCGGCCCCGGCCTCCGCCCGCTTTGCTTTCTTCGGAGGAGTTTTAATTGAATTAAATTCCAGGGTAAATTTTAGGAAGGCAGATAGGTTCGTAGATAAGACACTACCCAGAGATTTCGTCCTCATTTTGCGAGGACTTTATGATATGAGTTCTGGTTTCCTATACGCGCAAGCCCCTATAGTTAATTACCCTTTCAGATAACTTGAGAGAACTTTCGATTAAGGCTAGTCGTCAATCAGATATGTAGAAATACATAGTATCTGGCATATAGTAGCAGCATAGATATTTGAAATGGTTGGAGAATTTGGAAATTTGGAGGATTGGAAGATTTGGAGATTTGATATTTAAAATTGGAAATTGCACCATCTTACACTTAAAGCGGATGGTGGGGGAATGGATGATAGACCCAATCAAGATCTCATGATTCCGTCATCCCGGTTCATCTTGGTCCCTAGTCTACTTAGTCAGAGGAAGTAGTCAACCCAACCTGACAGAAGAATCCTTATCGGCAGCCATGGGTTTCTTCGTCCAATGGTACCTTGTAGACTTGGGTTGGATGTTTGTCTAAGGGGACAAATTTGAATCCACCTTAACTAACATAGGGTTTTATGCTCTATCGATCATATTCTATTGATTCATATCACAAGGATTTAATTCCACTAAGTAATGTATTGGCTCTGGCCATAACCGCTATTTTGTGGTGTCATTTGACGGCGAAATCACTCGGTTCAGAGGGCCTCAGGTCATAACCGTTTATCCTGCGGTGCCATTTGGTGGCAAAATCGCCGGTTAGAGGACATGTACCACGTCCTTACTGGCAGGAGATTATTTGAAAATGGATCCTAATGATATTTTCGACTTGACATTAGCTATTTGTGAGCTGAAGTAGTTTTTAATTTGTCTACCCAGCAAACTATTACGGGGGATTGATGAATCTTGCTTTAAGTGATTAATGATTAAATTTTAGTTTTAAATATATTGGGGTTGAGATTTTGGGAATTTCTGTGGAATTTTGGAGTTTTGATGAGCATTTAGGAATTTGGGAGGCACTTGAAAGTATTTGTGAACCCCTCCGGTTGAGATAAACATTCAATACGGCCATTATCGATGTGTTAATGAGCATTTGAGAGTTTCATTGATTGGACCTTGTCGACTATGTCAGTTTGCTGACAGAGATTCAGGTTCGTAATAGGCTTTATGCCTTTATTAGTGAATTCTCATTGTTGTAGACCTTGAAGGCTTAATATGAATGTATTGAGATAAATATACCGATCGCCGCAACCA